AGTCACAAGCGGTGTTCCTCAGGGCTCAGTTCTGAAGCCAGTTCTGTTTAACATCTTTATCAATGATCTGGATGAGGGGCTTGAGTGTTCCCTCAGGAAGTTTGCAGATGACACTAAGTTGGGAGGGAGTGTTGATCTGTCTGAGGGTAGGAAGGCTCTAGGTGATCCTGCTCTGGCAGAGGGGTTGGACATGATGATCTTTCAAGGTCCCTTCCAACTCCTAACGTACTGTGATTCCGTGATTAGAAAGAATTCTTGGTAAATATTTGTTGTGGAGAACAGATAATGAAAAAACATACCACCTCCCTAGTTAAAGGGGTTTTAGTTTGAATCAGGCTGGTAAGAAATCAGATTACCTTGTTCCATCCAATACTTTTTTTTTCTGTTAGGATAAGATGCTGCAGTTACGTGTGGTCACAGGGTTCACAGTTCTGAAAAACTCGTATTAGTCCTATTAGCTATAATGTGTAACTTCTTAGAAAGCCTTACTTTATTGTTAACATCTTCATGGCATTTGTTTTCAGAAGTCACTGCACACTGTAAGAGCTTTACAGGTTCACAGTACCTTTACTGATAGAGACTTGTCCTGCTTTCCTCTCCTGCCTCCCAGGAAAGTGCTGTCTTCGGACATACTTTGCTCTGGGAATTGCTTAATGCTACAGTGCATTCAAAAAAGGACATAAGTCTTCTATCCTTAGATTAGATATTTTTCTTTGTCTCCTCCTTTTCTGGTTCTTTCCTTCCAACTTCTGTGCTCTCTGTTGATTTCCCTGGTAACTGACAGATATTTTCTAATCTATTTCTGTCTAGCTCCTACCTGTACTTCTGTAATGTTCCACTTCAACAACTGTCCTAAAATAATCTTAGAATACCTCCTCTTCCCCAGGCTGAACAGCCCCAACTCTCTCAGCCTGGCCTTGTAGGGAAGGTGCTCCAGCCCTGTGATCATCTTCATGGCCTCCTCTGGACCCATTCTAACATGCCCATGTTCTCGTGCTGGGGTTCCCAGAACTGGACACAGCACTCCAGTGCTCTCACCAGAGCAGAGAAGAGGGGCAGAATCACCTCCCTCGACCTGCTGGCCACACTTCTCTTAATGCAGCCCAGGATGTGGTTGGCCTTCTGGGCTGCAGATGCACGTTGCCAGCTCATGTTGAGTTTTTCATCGATCAACACCCCCAAGTCCTTCTCCTTGGGACTGCTCTCCAGCCATTGGCCATCCAGCCTGTATTTTGCCTGGGATTGCCCCTACTCCGGTGCAGGACCTTGCACCTGGCCTTGCTGCACCTTATGATGTCCTATACAATGAGAGTAAATAATGACTATTGACTTTTTTTTTTTTAAACCCATCTGGATTCAGCAACAGCAAGATGCTTTTGTATGAGTGGTCTCATTTTAAGTTTTGAGTTGATGAAAATTTGACCATTTATATACTAATGCATTTTGATCTTGACAGTCATTACATGAAGTCTTCTTAATTGAGAAATTCCATGAAAACAAGAATGCAAACACAGAAATGCAAGAGTAAACTTTATTGAACGATGAAAAACTAATGACATTACAGTTAGTTTCAGCTCTGCTGGAATACTAGATTTTGTAATTTTGCTGTAGCAGAAAGTGCAACAAATCAGTTATTCAAACTGTTAAACAAACTAGTAATTAATAATTTCTCTTCAAAAACTGCATAGTTGTGCAGTTGTGCAACAAATATATAAATTTCTGCAAAACCCTGAAGAAAGATCTGATTTTTTTTCTTTGAATCTGGTGACAGAGATCACCTGCACTAGTCAGATTCTAAGTGCCTCTTCCCTTTTTTCCCACTCTGTAAGAAAGAATTAAAATATATGTTTAGTTAACATACTAGACATGACTCTTTATATCTGCAGTTATTTTGTATATTATAGTATGAATTAGCAAGAAAAAAGGACTTCAGCTGCTTACTTTTGTTAAATTATACAGCTATTAAGGGATATAAATTTGAACACGAAATATTGTTGTATAATTAAAACAGTCAAAGCACTTAGTGCTCATAACTGAGATGTTAACATCTAGGGATAAAAACATACTTGTTTATTGTGGTTTTTTTGTTGGTTTTTGTTTGTTTCTTTGTTTTTAATCCACAGATCTTTGTTCCTCTTTTTGAAAGACTTCCTTATGTTTCAAAGCAGTATTCCATAAAAAAGCAGGCATGTTATCAAAGACAATGCCTCCAAAATTAGTAATAGAAGAAGGATTGTCCTGGTCAGCCTGCATGATTACAGGAGAGAACAATAACAGCAGAAACAACAATCCCTGCAAGGTAGATAAGACTGTTTTCTTAGAACAAAACACACCAAAAAGATACTCTGTTAAAAAAATGGAAAATCCCAACCAGCCAAACAAAAAACCTCAGGGTGATGAATTAAGCAAGAAATGCAGCAAGATGTGCAAAGGTGAAAGCACATTAGACTGGGAGGGAGCAGGAGAAAAAAGAACATAGAATAGATGATTTTGCAGTTATCCTAAGTGTGTAACAAAGACTATCTTTTGTAATCTTTTTACTGTTTTTCTTTTAATCCTGTTTATTACAATTAACCACAAGATAAATTTATCTTATTAAAAAAATTCCAATTTACAGAGAAAAATACTTAACATTAGCAAAGGCATGGATGGGAGAGGAAAACAAACAGACTGAAGTTGTAAGTCAGAACAGTCATGTGAATGACTGAATTTGACAAGAGATTTAGTGGTACCAATTAGCACTCAATACTCGCCTGTAAGGGACTGAACAAGCCTATACATTTGTCAACCACTGCAAGACAATTTTAAGAAGAATCTTGCTCAATTGCAGTAAAGTGACAAGGAGAAAAAAAGACAACAGAAAAAGATAAGAGATTACACACAGAACCCCATGTAGTGCTAGCTGAAGAATCTGATGTAATCAGAAAAGATTTGTTCCTTCAGAAAGAGTAATTATGGCTTAATAAGCCAGTTTTCACAGACTTGTAGTACTCCAAATACAAACAATATGTTGCATATTAAAAGAGGATAGCTTGCCAAAGACTACACAGCTACCCTAGAAGTTTCCATTATATACAAGCTCTCCTTGTAACCTATGCAAAAGGTCACAGTCAAAACAAAAAAACTACCAAAACCAAACAAAACCCAAAATACATCAAGTCATGCACAAGTACAAATTGTTATCTTCAAATACCATCACTCTTCAAAAAAAGACAGAATGTTAAGCAGCATAATACTGCACTATTTATGCAAAAGTTAACTGAAATTCACTGGCATGAGTTGCATTTGCAGCCAACTTGAACAAAGCAGCATATGCAGTCAGCAAGACACTGATCTTATCACACATATTTCGACACAGCCTGTGAATCTTCTACAAAGATTTGGCTAGAAACAGAACGAAGATACAGAACCACAGAAAGAATGTGGCAAAAAAAGCCATGAAGTCTGCAGTTAGTTCAGGTACACAGTGAAACCAACTTGGTGCTTGAAGTATGTTTGTTGACCAATATACTTCAAGAAGTTTTTAAGTACAGAACAGGTGGTAGACTTCAACTTGCCAAAACTGTGCTTTAGTTTTGCTACTGGTTTGGGGTTTTTTTCCTACAATATGAACTGCTATTTATTTCTTAACTAGAAAAAATAAAACTAATAGGTCAGTTCAGAGCATGTTACATCATGAAAGTCTCAGCTACATCAAGAACAGGTAAACTTACAAACACTGAAAATAACTACCTGGTATTTTTTTAATTCTACCTGCAGTAGTTTCACTTTGGAACTTTCTTGCTATTATAATGAAGTAAAATTACCTAAAACCATACAGAATATAAATTTACAAAATATCCTTAACATCTGTGAGTTTATCAAGTCAATGTTGTTCTCCATTGGTATTGTGTTGGACAAACAGGTAATACATGCTGAGTTCAAGAGTCAGTACCACTGTCATTGTGCGCAAACCGAAAGTACAGGTGAAATATTCTTTAATGACTTTTATTTCCCAAGCAACAATTACTGGCTTACCTGTATAATGATCCAGAAAAGCTATAAAGTTACAAACCCTCCTGACTTTTGGACTCTGCATTACTTTATTGCATAAAACACTTTACTGATGGGAGTACTATGCATCAAAGATAAGCTTATTACATCACCCTCAAAAAATAGGTGACTGTTTTATGTAAGACATTTGGACAAGTCAAGAGCTTAGAACTAATAGTTGCTGCAGACCAAAAACTAAGCATAGAGGTCTTGCATGCTCTGCACTACAGTGACTTGACAACTGACATGTCTTAAGTAATTTGTAGCTCACTTGTGTTCATAAACTTGAGACTAGAAATTTTAAAGGGAAAAAAAACCCCACGAAACATCTTCAGAAGCATCTTTCTGAGCTTCCTAGCTTCTTCCTAGCTTAGGTTACCAGAGGATGATACACCTGAGTTGCTGTTCAGAGCAAAATAATTTCAAAGTCTGCTGTCTTTCCAGAAAGAGTTCTAAGTGAGTCACACTGGAGGCTTACATAATACATGTCCTTTGACATAGTGCAGGGCTAAAGATGAAATGTAACATTTTTTGTTTCGAACAAGTTTTTGTTTCAGCTTCCTCCCTCCCTTGTTGTTATCATTGCCTTAAATAAATAAAATATTTGAAACAGCCATAAAATTTTACATTTAGAAATCCTTGCTTACCTGTACAGTCAATTCATTTTTGGTAACTTGAGATTCATCAACCTGTAGGAGTATTTCTGCTTTGTCTTTCACTATATAGAGAGAAAGATAAAAGTATGAGGATCTTTCTAGATTTACAGCTGTTCATATGCAAGAGCACTGTGACATTGTTTTATTTCACTATACTGTCTTCACTAAAAGAACAGCAGATGTTGTAAATCAAAACCAACCATTAGCTACCAGTGTCATTAGTAGCGGCTTGAAAAGTTCTGGACATGGAACCCCAACCTTGCACTACTTCAGCCACACTTAACCCTGTAGGCAGCATGGATTTTTGAGATATCCATTGTGAACAAAGTCCATCAGAAAACTGAGTATTGGCAATGGATCAAGATTCTGGGATCATAATTTTCCTATATGAGCTCAGTTGTAGCTACGGAAACTTCTATTTACTCAAATCCAGAGACATTTAAAGTATTTAGCTAGTGTCTACGAAATATCTGTGGATAACTTAAGATTCTCTGTATGAAGAAATGAAGGTTTTTCAAGGCTCAATTCTTCCATGACCTTTTTTTCTCCTCAAAATACAGAACACTCAGGCTGTAGATAAACACAAAATTGCTCATTTTGTAGTATGTTACTATTCCACAAACAGAGAAAAAACCTTCAGAACTTCACCTCTTTCTTCTCAAGATGAAAATATTTCATCTTGGCTCGGATACTGACCCTAAAGTAATAAAGTACCAAGTTAAAATTTGCAATGATCAATCACATTATAAACATCTGAACTAGCTTAGAAATAGTTTTCAAAAAGATACTTAAAAAAAGGAGCTCTTTTAGCTGAAAATTTAAGCTGGATAAGAAACTTTAACACATTCAAGAGCTAAATTAAGAAATTCAAATGCAAAGACAATTTTATAACAAAATTAGTGTGGTTAGTATCATAGACTCAACTTCATCAAGCAAGATTAGGAATATTAAAGGATAAGTATGCGTAACAAGTATAAAGACGCTAGGATATTTACACACACGAATGTGTGTATATATATATTTATTTATTCATATATTCTTTTTCTCCAAACTTTGACAATAATCTCTGAATCATAAAAATTCTGAATAGTGCTATAACAGAAGAAAATTATCACACAGTTGCACATATAATCCTGTGGTCTATCTATCCCTATTCATTGTGTGGCAAACGAGTTGCTTAGGAGTAGAATGATGTTTCCAACAGATCAAAGCACAGCTTGCAAAGATGCAAGAACTGAACAGTTTTCTCAAGTGTGTCTAAACAGATCTTATGATGAGATCAGTCCAGAACAGATAGCTGTCATTAGCAAAAGAAAGTCTAACATGAGGCATCACTGTACCCAAAATGTAACTGAACAGTTTATATTTCAAATAATGATCTCAACATGCAACTGATTATTTCATTATATAAGAGAAATGCAGTACTTGTAGTCCAACAAATACTATAATTCACTAGAGTCACTGCAAATTAGTAGTTTCTTAGCTCTTTATAGCTGTCACTGATTCAAGTTGTTTTTTAAAACATGCTTTGAAAGTTCCTTCCATGTTTTAAAAAGAATACTTAAGTTCCCTGATATAAATCTTACTTACTTTTACCTTCTTGCATCATCTTCAGAAGCTGTGCATTTCTTGCTTTTACTTCTTTATACTTTGCCTGTATTAAAGATGTTGAATTACTACATGGACAACCTACTAAAAAAAAGTATTCCATAAATTAAGCATGAGTCAGAGTTTAAAATTATGATTCTGCAGAGAACCTAATCATAGAATCATTTAGGCTGGAAAAGACCTTTACGATCATCTATGTCTTAATTAAACCACAACCAAAGAAAGAACACATAACAGGAGAAGTGGATTAATAACTGAGAGTCAAGAAAAAAAGGGAAGAATAAGGCTTAGAATAAGTGAAAATAAGAAGCTTGTGTCAGTGCACTGATAGTGCAGGAACCACCATTCATGTCTGTCTGTAGCATCAAGGGCTTTGTGGTTTATCTCCTGAAAAAAGAAAACAATTATAATGCACTTTCTAGATACTGAGTTAATATACATACTTGCCATATTACTTGGCAAGTAGGACAAAACTCCATTGCGCTACAGATTATTTTATTCAGCAGTTATTGTTATTATGCTACACTTTCCTTTTCAAATTTTTACAGTTTGCTACTCAAGAACCTATTTTTGCTGGTTTTTCCAATGTATTTGGTATGATACTTTCTCTGTAAGTCAGTGTCTTCCTTAATTTGCCACCAATGTCAGTTCTAGCCATTCATCTTAGCTATAAACTTAATTTTCGTGTCACAAGTTTCTTCATACAGCTTGCTCTTGTAGGCTCTTGGAAAAAACCTTTAATTTCAGACATACTTTTTTTGTAATAAGGAAGCTACTGTCTTTGAGTATCACACCAGTGTTTGCAGATAATTAACCTACATTTAAAGCCACACCTTTCATGGCCACCTAAAACTGTATTAAGGTCTCTTAAACAGCTGTATCATCATCCATCACCTCACCAGTATCCTTATGCATCGTGTTTATAATCTGTCAAATGTGATCAAGTGCTGATAGTGGTAAATACGGTTTTATACTTTAAAGTTCCACCTGGGTATTCCAACATTAGTACACAATGAAAACAGTGGTTAACAAAGTTCCTGTCTTTATTACTACAAGTAAAATTACTTCTTGAAAGCATCTGAAAATCCCAATCTGTCAGTCTACTCAGTCCACCTTAAGCAATGAATAAAAATGGTAATAATTTAAAATAATTCTATGCTGCTTTATTATATTTTGCTACAATGTTGTAAATCAAGACCCAGAATTAGCTACCAGGAATTTGTCACCATTTCCTCATGGAAACTTTGCCTTTTTTGCTCTAGATAATATCCAGACAATGCTAACACAGACCAAAAACAGGGACACAGACATTTTCCCTAGTACTCTGATATGCAGCAATACCATGTGATTATTAATGAACAAATCTTTTTTTTTCCTGGTGTGTTTTAACATATGGTGAATCCCATTTCGAAATTCACTGGTATGTAACAGGAAAATATCTAACAAAATCCAGGACTCCATCCATGTTACACTGCAGCTTTACAGGAACTTCTCTTAGACCAGACAAAATATTAAATGATTTCTTTAATCAAGAAATCAACAAAACTGAATCTGAATTAACACAAAATCCCAACCATATGTCGTTCTTAAAGGCAAGAAAAGCTGAGTAGAACTAAAAAAATAAATAGGTTGGACAAGACCCAAGAATTCCAACTTCCTGCTCAGAACAGACCTAACTTCCACGCCAGATCAGATTGCTCCAGATCTTGTCTAGTCTCAGATTGCATCTTTATTTTTTTACCATGAAAACAGCAATACAAGAAAACAAGGAGTGACTGATAATACCAGATATGAAGTTTATTTCTGGATGCTTTGTCTTGATTTATTGAATTATTTTTAGATGCTTAACTTAACAAGACAGACTGCTTGATATGGTACTGAAGGAGTAACTTGCTCTGTAAATACATAGTCTGTGGCCAGTATAAAGCATGTCTATAGGTTGGTCGCATTTTAATAAATACTTTGTTTCAAATGTATAATAATGTTGAATTTTGTCTACTATTTGAAGGTAGTATAAGCTACATACCTCCCACTGAGTTATTCTGGTTTTCAGTTGCTCAATTTCTGCAACTTTCTTTTCAAGCTCAAGCTCTAGTTGTTCTGTTTTTCCATCTTTCAAAGCACTCTCCTGTAAGCAAAAAACCATCACTTCTTAGTAATTTAGTCATGTGAATTTGATTAATGAAAAAGGTAACTGATTTGTCAGGTAATTTTTGATCAAAACTAAAGAGGTATATGTGCATAGATACCAAAAGGATAAGAAACACAGTAATAAATGTTAGCATTTTCTGTAAAGCAAAAGTTTTGGACACAAGTGTTTTGTGTTAAAAAAATCATTTTAATACCTCTTCAGATAAAAATATTACAGTGTTGTCGGTTTTTAATTCATTAAGATTATCATGCTGTTTCTGCTTTCTTTTATTCAGGTGCTCCCTTATCACTGTATAAGCTTCACTATTGCAATTATTAATTACATAATGACATATTAATGTCATTAGATATTAGGAAGAAATTCTTTACTGTGAGAGTGGTGAGACACTGGCACAGGTTGCCCAGGGAAGCTGTGGATGCCCCCTCCCTGGAAGTGTTCAAGGCCAGGTTGGACAGGGCTTTGGGCAACCTGGTCTGGTGGGAGGTGTCCCTGCCCATGGCAGGGGGGTTGCAACTGGATGATCTTTAAGGTCTCTTCTGACCCAAACCATTTTGTAATTCTATGATTCATTAAGCAAACTTCTTCACATCAGAATGACTGTTGTTTTACATACCTGGTTCTGTTCTTGAGATGTACATTTGTCTGTTTCACTGTAATCAGCAAGCTGGACTCTCCTTTTCTCTCTTTCAAGTATTCTGTGAACACCATCTTCCAGCCTGTTGAAAAATCCTCCATCATGCAACGAAGACTGGGAAGAGTTCAGTTCCTGTCAAAAACAAGTACTCTAACATATCTTCCATATATATAAGTTTAATATTGAACTAGAAATGAACTTGTTTTTAAAAAAGCTTAAGTCATGGAAAAGCATTGCATCTAGATAATGTTTATGTTGTACAGCCTGAGAATACTGTTACTTCCACCTAGAGAATATGATACCAAGAAGAGTCTAGAAATTGATTAACAGTTAACATTTAGCTGATGATGAGATTACATAAAAGCATGAAGTTGGAATTTAATAAATTTGCACTATGATTGCATTAATTTGTGTTATACTTCACTGTTAACTATTCCCTCTAAAGGTTTTATTTATGGACTGCACCACAACATAGCAGCATCATAGTACTTTCTCACCTAAACTGTTTCTCTTTTATACTACAATTTGTATTTTTTAACATGCTTTTAAATCTGCAAGTTGCATCAAAAGCTATCTGAAAACTAAAGAAGAGGAAGTTCTAAGAAAGCCAATACAAAGTTCTCAAGAAAGAACTGCAGAAATACATCTGTATTAAATCTGCATCTATAAAAATTTTCCAAAAGGAAATCAGTCAGTTTCAGAATGTATCATTGACTGTCACTACAGAAAATGCCAGAATAGTTACTTTCTCAACATGTGGTATTCTCATACTGTTAACCATTTTTTTTCTATTAAACTAGTTTGAATAAGACTTACCTCATGCTTTTTAGCAAGGTTATCTGAAAAGAATAAAGAAAAAAAAAATGACATAAATAAGTCACTGTCCCAGTTTGGGCTAAATAGAGCTAATTCTCTATTTAGAATAGATTTTACTTTTCAATTAAGTCTCTTCTGAGTAACTGTGCTTTCTGAAACTGCATGTTTTTTCAGGCAGCGTTCACTTCTACAAGTTACAGTGCTTGATGTTTACAGTGTTAATCTTGTACTGCTGGCTATTGAAATAAGACATTTTGAAAAGTGGGGGGAAAAAACATCTATTGGAGTTCTTCAACATTCTCTCTCCTCTCAAAGTCACAATAAAAAAAAGTCATCACTAAAACACTAGAAACCAAAACTATAAACTATGTATTACATCAGTCCCTGTATTTGCATTTTCTCCAAGATCTTTCAGAGTCTTTAATCAAAAGCAGCATCCTATATTCATTTGCCTCGGTTCAAGAGGAAAGCAATGCCTTTGGTACAAACATTTAAGGAATTTCTTGATTTGTTTCTTTTTAGGTCTATTTAGGCTTCTATAGCATCTATCTCACTGTATACCTAGATGCCTTCCAGACTGCTGTGCTTTCAGTTTTCTTCCTTTATTCAGATTATCTGGTAATAATGTGTTTAATAAATATTGTAAATTTAGATTAAAACATCCTTAAAAGAAAAACCTTAGAAAACAAATTACTTTCTTCCTTTTCTAGCATCTGCCTTGATTTCTTCACTAAAATTCAAAATCTCTGCTCTACAGACACAGATGAAGGAATTTTAAACATATAAATAATGTATATAATGAGAATATTTAAGTTATTTCAGTATTTACTCATCTTAATAAAAGACAGTATCATGAAGAAAGGCAAACAATGACTTGCTATTACCAGGAAACAGAAACTCAGTGCAAACTCGCAAAACAAAACAACACAACCCAGTTAGACTTTAAAAAGAAGTCACATTAAGAGTCTTTGAGTCTCTTTAACAGTCTTTTAAGACTCTTAATGTGATTTCTTTTTAAAGGGATACTACATAAAATTATGTTGTCCTTAAGCTCTTCTTTTTTTTTCTGCAGTAGGATATACTAACTGCAACTCATTTAGTGTTTGTTTAAACACAGTATTATTGAACAGAGACAGAGGGGCATTTTGCTGTTAGCACACACACGATGAAAATTCCAAGTAAAACAGCTCATGTGGTATTGTAAGGCATACCTGTATTACTGTCTGACTGAAAGTCTTTCAGAGGCACAGTGAGAGGCTTGTCTTTTCCTTGCTGATTCTTTTTCTTATTCACAGACTTTGACTGGGGTGAAGTACTTTCAACATTTTCACATTCCTAGAAGAATAAAGTCCCAGTGGTATAATTTTCTTCAATAACCAAATATTTTGTCCTGAGGTTTTATAAAGGAAAAGTGATAAAGTACTAAAGGCAATTTTAGCCTGAACAGTAATTTGCAGGCTTCAGATTGGTTTAAAGAGAGCAAGACACATCAGCAATTAAGCATCAATTCTGCTCTCTGGAATAGAGCATTGCTCCTCACTAAAGAGCAAATGAACTATCAGCCTAATACTTCCTCAATCACCTAGATTAAATTTTATCCACAAACTCCTAAACTGAGAATATATGGTAGTTAAATGCAGGGAGGCAGACTGTTACACAATGCAGGTTAGTACTTTCTTTAAAAAACAGAGGTCTACTGTGCCTTCTTTTTATTCTCAAAATATGCTTATTCATTCAGTAGAAGTCAGAGAGCTATTAGTGTGCAGCAGTGCTCTACCAATTGGCCTTACTCCTACTGAAGTCAGACAGCCTGGTGCATGAGAGCCATTTGAACTGGAGTCCCATCTCACCACACTTCTACATTAACATTCTTAGCAAATTATCAATGTCTCCATTGTTAAAAATAATCTTAAATACCAATTAATTATTTTAATTAAGATAAATAATCCTAAATGTTAAATATAATCTCAAGCAATAAAAATATATAGAAAGCAGATGAAAATGGAGTGCTTTTCTTTCTATAGAAACAAGATTTGTTCAGCCTACTCATGTACTGTACTCTTAATGCAGTATATATGCAGTATATACAGTGTATATTTTAAATTGTTCACAGGTAATTCTCAAAAAGTCTACAAACAATTCTGTGCTACTATGCCTGAAGATGAGCTTCACTTTAAAAAAGAACTTTTAATGTTTAAGTTAAAAATTTATCCTTGGTTTTTCAGAACTATGGTACTCTCCTCCCCAAAGCACTGAAGTATTATATAGAGAGATTTGCACAAAAGTGTATGTGCAATTTTTACTTCTTTATGATGCACAATAATATTTAAATTTACATATTTTCATAACATTTTATTGGCTTCTGATTTATTGCAAATAAGAAGCAGCTTCCTGTTAGAAAGAACAATTTCATCTAAGCCTACTTTTTCAGGACAACTCTTCAGTGTTCCGTAAGAACCACTCATCAAACAGCATCCTGGCCAGCTATAAAAATGTATACAGCTTATTAGAACTAAAATATTTACACTCAAAACTGAGAAAATATGTTAGCAGAAGTGCAAGTGATACAACTGCAACTAACACTTTAAGGCCTAAGAAGTCAGTGCTTTGATTATCTTACACTTCAAGTGTGCTGGATTCTTGCTAAGGAAGGACAGGATCTCTTCTTGTACTAGTACAATATTTCAGCACATTTATGTGCCACAAAATTAAAAAAGAAAAGTTAATTTTCCACCTTTACAGGCCAATTAAAACAAACTAACAACCAACCAACCACCCAATACTATTACATATGATTTCTTTCAAAGCCAATATCTCACAGAACTTTTAGAGGGATTTTTGCTTTATTTTTAAAATTCGAGCATCAAACTCGTACAGCTTTTACATCAGGATGAATCCTGCTGATACCTTTTTGTGCTCTTCATATTCCAGTTTGCTTAGCAGCAATGCTTTCTCAAGATCAGCTTCAAACAAGTCAGACGTCAGCTGAAGAAACAAAATTAACATACTAATGTGACTGCATTGTTAAAAAAAAAAGCAGACAAAACTGCTAAGACCACATTAAAATTTCAGTTTCGATACACGTATCACTACAATTGCCAAAAAGCTAAGTTGCACTGATGTGACATAAAGTATTATTTATAGTCAATAAATGTTTCTGTACCATAAATATAAAATAACTTGCTTCAGGAAACTTAGTGATGGATGTAAGCATACAGTAAGCTGTGCACATCTTTATGTAATACAGTTACTTTCTAGATCATTTGTTTAATGACATTTCTTTAAAATAATTTTTTAGTTGGAAACATGACAACTAGAGGATGTTAAAGGATGACAATGGTCATTATAGACCATCAGAAAGTCTAAGCGCTCATTGATTGCATAGAAAATATTAGGTTAAGTGTACTTTATTTTTTTTCTTAAAAGGACAGCAGAGCTAAGAAAATCTGAATTATTTCAAGATGTTTTCCCTTTCATTTCTGAGAAAAAAAAGTGCATAAGTCTTCTTGGGAGATGCAAGCAAAATCTGAAACTTTCAAAGGGTAAGCTATTGAGAAAAAGAACTAGCAACACCACAACAGGAATGAAGGGTGGGATATCTCTTTTTTTCTTGTGTTACCAGAAAATAGGAAAGTGCAGGAAAGTCCAGCTCCTGCTGCATAGAAAGCTGAAGGACTGAATTGAGAAGACCAGTATCAAGAACACTCTCATGGAGCCAAAATAAGAAATCTACTGAGAGGCTACAGATGCTATAGTCAAGATAGATAGTGGATAATCTAAATGTATGAACAGCTAATAACGTATGTTACTGTTTAGAGCAAAGTTAACCAAGATTAAGTTGTTCAGAATGCAAAACTCTGTTTCTTTGAGGTCTGCTCTCTTAAGGCATCACTGCAATCCCCTGTGTGACATGCTGCCAAGTGAAAGCCTTTTTCTTCATCATAGCTCTCTCCTTTTCGTGCGCTTAACTGAAATATTAATTAGTAGAAATAATTACATTAAACATTATTTTCTTGTTCTTTGAATTTCAAATTGAGGTCCTTTGCATTCATTCCAGAATAAAACTACAATAGCTGTTGAAGTGAATAAATTACTTAAGTGGTCTTAACGTACTTCGCTCAAACTTGACTGCGTGATGCACACTACTGTTTTTGTCTACAGGAACCATGTTCTGGAAAAAAACCTTACAAGTTCTCATATGCTTCACGTATGCCTAAAAGCCATTCATTATATGTTATAAAAGCACATGCATTCTTCCTAGTTCTTTGTTCACAGTAAAACAGCCTTTATTGAGAGGCTATTTGAAACACGGTATAATAGTCCTCTAAGCATAAACTGCTACAGGATTTCATATAGACTTTGGGGTGCTGTCATTACTAGCTTTGCATCTGGTTTTGTGGTCTAAGCTCAGCATCAACTGATTGCACTGGGACTCACTGGCAAGGCTTTTGTAGCAGAGGGGATGGGGAAGAGCCACAGACCCACCATGGCTGGAGGCACCTCAGAACCACCAAGAGCTGCTCACATGGGTAGCAAGCAGTGGAGCAAGATGACCTTCACCAGATCGCTACTAGTGAAGGGGCCCCCACAGATGCACTGCCTGCAGCCAGGGAACTGGAGAACAAAGGGGGTAGGGTTTTTTGTCTTAAGTGCTTATTTTCCTTCAGTATCAGAATCAGTAATTAGAGGTTCGATAACTGATACCAAATTAAATTGACTGAAATTCCCCAAAAAACAATGAATGTTTTTTGCCTGTAACTGTTCAATACAATCTGACAGTGATAGTGTCTGTCAAAAATTAGGCCTTGTAGTCTACCACACGGAAAAACTCAACATCAGCATGATAAAAAAATGACAGAATTGAGATTTTATAAAACCCAGACTGCCAAAAAGAGAACACACAAGTGTAAGGTAAACTCACAAGAAAGGTGAACTTAGAATTTTTACCTTTTTGTGTCTGGAAGTGCTAATTTAGCACTACCACCATGTTGTTACAACTACTAAACAACTGCACAAAAATTGCATTATGTGTTCTCTAGTACAAAAATAACCCTTATCATAATTTACCTACCTAGCAGTTGTACAATTTAGGGCAAGGCAGTGTTCAAAGCTGGCTGTACAAAGGCTGCTACTTCTAAGCAGCAGCAGAGTTAAGATTCAGAGCTGAATATTCTCAAAACCAGTCATAGTTACCCAAGCACCTTCAGTCCTGGCTTCTGTACATAGCCTGACTGTCTCAGGATAGCTAGCTATGGGCTCACTACCACTGAAACCTATCAAAAAACCTAGAAACTATGGGTTCCGTTGCATAGGTATTGGAAGTGCACATCCAATAGGCAAGCTCTGGAGTATACCTAATAGCCTGTAAGAAATTAAGATCCATGCACAAAGCTCTTACATTGATTCTCGTAAAAGCTTTGCTGAAGAAGGACCGTGCTATTTACACAGTACTTCCATATTAAGATAAACGTTGTCAATCCCTTAAAATGAAAGTCCCAGGCAGTATGGTAATTTGGAGGGTAAATATGAAAAGAGGAACTCTTCATGAACTGGGAGATACTCTTTGTAGAGCTGACCTCTGTGGAAGCAGGGAGACAGTTTCTCACCTAGTGCTGAGTATCACCTTCCATTGCAGTATACCATTTAAAATTCACCTCTTATTACCAATATTGTATTACTGGACAAGAGTAACTCCAGAACTGAGAGGCTAGGTTCTCATGCCGCCTTAATCTGAATAATTCAAACCCATGTTTCTCCTCTGAGATAAGCATGTGCCAGTTGCAGTTTGAAACAAGCTGCCAATCAGTTTCTCCAACTCAGAGAATGGATAGTTTCATTAAATCTTATGATAGAGTCAGCATGACTTTATGAAAAAAACAACACAGGAACAGCAGAACAGTTCAAAGGACTAATTGACATTTGATGCATTTGACTAAACAAGGTATTCTGTAAAACAAACTTTCCAAAAAAATTCCCACAGATGTGGAATAATACCATTTTGTTTGGAAATTCTGCATTCTCAAGTCTGACGAACCTACTTTGCAAGTGGTCCTCTGTCTTTCCTGTAAAACTCAGATTCTTCATAAGCTTCCAACACTTCTCATCTTCATCTCAAAATATCTTACCTCTTCTTTCTACTGCAGGGACCTCCTGTAAGTTTTAACTACCATCTCTTGCTAATTTTAAGAGTGGTGCTATCATGGGCTTCCGGACAGTTTAGCTGATTCTTCCTTTAATACATACCACATGAACTCGGCTTTTCTCTCTTTACCTCTTTTGTTGTATCTGCCTTTAATAGAACAGCTTGTTCTTAAAGAGCTATACACAGACCCTATCAAGTTTATATTCCTAAAGGGTGGTAATGATATAATAAGCTGGTACATGAGCAACAGCTGATAAGGACTTTTAAAAGCCTCCACATGAAGCTTCCTTCTCTGACAGAATTCAAGATTTAGAGCTGAAAGGAGCAGGGCCTCACTGCTAAACAGCCAAGATACTTGTCTTGAGTAAGGTAATCTCTGCGTAGATATGCAACATTTCCCAGTAAAAGTAAGGCAGCTTCAGTGCGATGGAATGGTGCACGTGAAAAATCACTCTGCAGTAATGCTTTTGGCAGAGTTATAGGAAGAGAAAGAAAAGAGCCTGGAGCTTGAACATCTCAAATTTTATTTCAAGTCATTTAACAATTAAAATACACAGAAGCTAGGCAAATGCCTGCCCCACCTCCTCTTGGGAGGATACAACTGAATGGGCCATGTTTTGAACAAGTGCGAAGGAAAACTACCTGCAGCCGTTGGTATTGTATCAGTTCTGAGTCTCTGTGCTCAGGTTGACTAGACAGATAATTGCTCAGCAGATTTGCCTTTTCAGACCTACTCCAAAGCCTATGCTTTTTTTCACTCATTGCTATACTCAAAGTATCAAGACACTAATACTTGTGCCTTGTGTCTACAAATCAAATTTAAGATCACATTTCTTTAAATCAGTTATACATGGATTCTTCAAATTATAGTCTTACAGAACATAACAAATACTAATTTAACAGAAGTAATACATAAACACTGTAACTTATTACTTTAAAAAAGTAACATTGAATGTGTAACCTGAAATGGAACTTCTATGACAATTTGGGCAAGATTCCAGTCAATGGAACATGTTATTACTGAGACTGTTAGTGGTAACATTAAACAGAAATAATAAAGCATAGTTGTGGATATTGAAGGCTCATGATTCTTTGTGTGACACTGGCCTTTACTTCTTAATTTTTATTTCAGGGTCACAAGTTCTTTACTGCCTTGTTAGTAAGCTACTGTGGAAATCAGTGGGGACTCTCAGGGTTTTGGTAATTCCCCTTAAGAGCCCAAAAATGTACATGCTATAATCAAACTAAATCCCTCATCATTTTAATTCATGTCCTCTTTTTCTCCCTCATATAAGAAAAAACAAGCTAATTCAATGCCTGCCAGTACTGTAATACATGGGTGGTATCTAGAAACAGTGAAATAACAGTTTTCAAAGGAATTTAATTGATTATGCATATTTTATTGAGAATATCCTAATGAGACATGCACTCCATATTATATACTTTGAGCTACAGCAAACATTTTGATTGTTGTTCTAATACAGGAATCACAAGTGGCAATTTGTTTTTTCACCCATCAGATTCCAATATTTACATTTTTAAGAGTTTCTAGGCAAATTTAAAAGTAAGTTTAAACCAGTTTGGGCAACTTTTTGGCACTTTAAGACCAAAATCCCAATGCTTTAAACCAGCAGTGAACTGAAAAAATTCCATGTAACCTCTATCGTTGACTCAAAGAGTCACATCAGTATCTTGAAACAAAGTTTAATTATTTCATGTTCACAAAACATCAACAATGCAATCCAACATTAAGGATTATGCCACTGTCAACCATTTCATTACATGTTTAGTGTATCAAAATAAAAGTTAACACAGGATTTGTTGGAAAAAATATTCACAGACCACATTGTACCTCCATTTTTTATGCTCAGTCCACTGTGACCAAAGAAAGCTGTTCAAAATGTAGTTGTGCTGCAAAACAGTCTAGTCTTCATCCCCAAGAACTGTGACAGCATTTGGCTATTCATTTTTCTCAAAAATGGGACAGAGCAGTCTTTAGAACTGTAACTATCGCATGTTACAATTATGGTAATTGATCTAAAGTTATTTTAAAAATAAAAGACTCCCACGGTAACTTCACAACCTATGAATTTATTACCGACATATAAGAATTGATTGTTTACAACTGTTTGACCATTTCACCACCCAGTAATTAGACTATAAAATTCTTTTTTTACCTGAAATAATTGCTTCATACCACACAGGATTAAAAAAACCTGCAAGTACTGAACTAAGCCAATGTGTACCATAAAAAGTAATTCTGAAGTTTATTAGCTCTGGAAATTTTCAAGATGATTATTAGGTCATTACTCCACTACTAGGAGAACTATCTGGAAGCATGCAAAGTTAAGAAGTTGGCTATATTGTGTTTAAGGAAACACCTAAACCAAAGCATTTATCTACATACAAAAAAAACCAAGGACAGTATCCAAATGTCAGTCTTTTCTCAGTATGCTTTCTGTATCGTGTCTTAATTAGAACAAGAAGCAGTTCAATACCATCTGTTTTGATGAATTAAGCTGAAAATTTCTCTCTAAAAGAAAAAAACGTCATAGCAGATGCCAGCACAGAAGTTCAACAGCTTCATGAAACACTATTTAAACTTCAGCTGGTGTCACTTATTAGCAATTCAGCTTGAAAAATTTTGTGCAAAGTTACTTGAAAGGGCATCTTCAAGCATAACAACTCAGCCCAAACTATCATTCACATTAATTAAGTGCATAGCACACAATTATTTAAAAGAAATCTACACAAAAAAATCTACAAAACATTTCTTTAAGTACTATCTCTGTCCAAATATGCTGTTTCGGCCTTCTAACAGTTGAAGTACTGCAAACCATTCAGAACATTCATATAATTTAAAACACCACACAAGAAAATCACGATATATTCTTCATTCAGTATTTTAAATGCTGAATTCAAGTCAAGAATCAAAAAGGCTAATTTTAACTGTAAGTATTCTTCCTAACTGATAAAACAAGGACAGAAAACTATTGTATTTGTTCAAGGTGAAAATCGTTTTACAGTCTTGGATTAAGTGGATTTCTCCGTGTAATTTCTGTTTGTGGTAGCTCTGGCAAGAAGAAACACAGTGTAAACATTAGACCAGCTTCCACACAGGTACAGTCAGTCTTTGCCTTACTGCTATTGTAGTCTTCACATGTTAATGAAGACTGCTAACAGTATTATTACCAACAAGATGTTCTAGCATTAAAAAACAGGTTCTTACACTGATAGGACTAACCTAGTATGCTAAAGGACACTTAGCACTCAGAGTTCAAGTCATTACCTAGAAAGAAACTAGTTATTTCATGCCTAACAGAACTTATCAAGCCTGGTTTACTATGCATCTGTACTGTATATCCATATATTGCACCACCAAAACATCCCCAGCTTTGCTTCCACCACATTTCACCATCCTTCCATGGCAGTACTTCTACTTGTTGTCCAAGTAATAGAAATTCCTCTTACCATACTCCAATAGCTACAGCCCAGCTATGAGGTGTGCAAACAGCAGCATGTGCTGGCTTTTAACTATATTTGACAGAAGATGTGGCCTGAATTTCCACTGAAACCTTTCCTTCTACATGGCAGTATTTTGTTGCTTCCTCTGTGGCCACCTCTCTTTATCCATGAGACTTAACTGCATGGAGTAACATATATCGGGAAAGCCAAAGATAGCTAAATACTGTAAGCTTTACCTGTTCATCTCTTTGTCTCCACTTCTGCCAGTTTTCTTCCTGAGAGCCCTTCTGCACTGCAGTGTGCAGTTTTTGTTTATGTTGAGATAGACAGCCTCCATATGAGGATTTCTGAGGAATCTTTTTAAAAGCAATGTTTCTGAGCTGAAAAAGTTATTTTTAACATTCATCAAAATGTTGACAAGTATACAGAAACAGTCTTAATGGACTAACAAAGGCATTTAGACACATGTGCAAATAGACATGCATGTGTTTTACCTTAGTCTGTAATTTGGGATACACTTTTGTTTAATCATTTATGGTACACACTGTAAAATAAAATTATGGAAAACTGTGTATCAGAAACATCACGGCCATATAACATACAGAGAAAAAGTAACTGTATTTTGCCAGCTGAAAACACTTTCAACAAATCTGAGGAGGTAACTGTGTATGACAGATTTCATGCTGGATCAGGTACTGTGGTATGCTCACACCTGACCCAAATTAAATATAATGCTAAAGAAAAGGTGGTATACACAGATTTGGTACTGGCAAACAGATGAATTAGAGATTCAAGTAGAGAAAGAACAATGTAGACAGCCCTTACAGTTTGTCAACAATCTAAAGTTGGTCACATTTTAAGAACCTGCAATAAGAATTATTTTTAATCACTGCACTATATAGATACAACAGTGTCATATTAAACATACCTTACATAATTATAAAATCTGGTAGGAAACAAGTAACCTGCAAATTTGGCAGCTCAAAGACAAACATTGTTCAAGCTTAGAACACTGACACTCTGGCCCCTTACTTGGAGGGAAAAATAAAGGCACCAATACAATCTATCAATTTAGAGACAGGGATTTCCTTAACATAAAGGCTCCTGGAAGGGAGAAAGAAGCTATTATCAGATGAAAGTAAAAGCAAAGATAATCAAAAGACAATAACAGTGTTCTCCTTAATGTGGATTTATGAATGTTATGACTCCTCCTTTAAACAGCAGCTCACCTTAGCTTAAAGTTATTTAAAATCAGGCAATCATGCAGGTACTTCAGAAATAGTTTTGTTCCTCTCTGAACAGTCCCTTGCCATACTGCCTTTTGCTTCGCTACTGTCTTTCTTGCTGCCTGCACCAGCTCCACAAACCCTGCTTCCTTCTTCAGATTACAGGGCTGGTAGGAACACTCATACAGACCATTCAGATTTATCATTTCAGTGGAGTATACCCACGTGCATAGAATACGGTGGAGTGAAGAAAATGAGTCAGCCCTTACTTGCCTCTCTACCGTCTCAGGAGTAAGTATCATCTCCACGCAAACGAATTTCTGTAGATATATGCAATGTATATGCATACACACAATTGTTTTGATGGCATCAAAAGTTTTAATGGTGTTAAGACAGGCATAAAGAAACATCAGGATATGCTTACTGAAGACTTAATCTTCAATATACAAAGAACAGCATCAAAGTACAAAAAAATCACTTTACATAGCATTACTGCTATTACTGAAATTTCAAAGATTTTAAGTTTAATAGATACTAAAAGAAAAAAAGATGGGTTTGGGGGTTTTGTTTGTTTTATATACTAAATTTGATAAGAGATACACACAGTTTCAGCCAGAAAGATCATCTCAGATCAGCTGTCAAACACAGCAACCTAGAATTCCAGTTCCTAGGATCTTGGAACAATTATTTCAGTCTCACTTCTTAATTTTTATTTTGACTGAGGTTTAAGAATCCCAGTGTCAGAAAATCGCCTCTATTCTTCACTCCACCATCCAAATCACAGGGGACAAACAAAATGTGGGGGAGGGAATGGGAAGAGAGTGCTGGATTTAATAGATTAAGGGGCTGGAGTGATCATTATTCAAAGCACCTTTGAATTTTAACATGATGGATGTCCAAGCAGGCAGCTAGAATCAACCACCTACAAACCTCTGAAAACAAGTTGTTTGCTATAAATCACTTTTTAAAGAGGTCATCCTCATTATCAGAAGTTAATTATTTAAGTGATGCTGTCAAAAAAAACCTTAATTCATTCAAATTTTCATCTTGTATAGTGCAGAGTATCCTTCCTTTATATAAAGAACTCTTAGTAAAGCAAAGGAAAAAAATGAAGTCTTTGTGACTAAGTAGCACTTGTTTCATTAAAAACAAAGAAACAAAAAAAAAAAAACCCCAACAACAAAACCCAAATAAAAACACAACAAAAACAAACAAACACCAAAAACTAATGACTGTCAGGAACAGTAAAAATTATTTACCATGTAACAACTTTATCCACTACTAAAAATATAACCCCTTTACCTCACTGGCCTCAATTTGCTGCTGTTCTTTCTTTTTTCTCCTTTTCTTTCTTTTTTTCTCGTTTGTAGATGATCTTCCACCTGAAGCCTGAGATTTACTGGCACCTTGGCCACTTCTTCCTTTTCGAGGTTCTGAATCAGTATCGCTTTCAACTTGTAGTAAAGCAAAACGAGATGCAGTGGTAGAAACTGAACTGATTACAGCAGATGCCATTGCCACATCTGAAACTCCACTGAAGCTGAATTCTTTTTCGTTATTATGTTTCCTAGGAAGGTAGCGCTGAAATAAGGATGAAAACAGTGTTTGACCAATCAATCAATAATTCTTATCTGTTAGCTGTAGGATTAGTATAAAAAAAATCCCCAAACCCCAAAACTCAGTATTATTTCTTGTGTTTTTATTAAGTTGTATTATCTTAAGTATTCAGAGAACTACAAATGGAAGGAACAATCTATAAAACAAGAGTTATTTTAGGCTAATACATTTGTTCCTGAGAGATTATGTTTGTTAGAAAAAAAAAGGAGAAGGCTCTGAAAGAAGTTTACCCTTCCTTATCTGGAGGAGAATAGAAGGAATAATAAAAAAAAGAAGATAGAGGAATAGCGTAGTGCTCCAAAACTGTTTAAGATGCCATCCGTAGAGCCTGACAAACATATGGTTTGAGAAAGCAAGCAAGTGGATACAACATGCACGCGGCCTCCAATTTTGGTTAAGCAGCACTGTTTCTCATTTTACTAGTATCATTTTGTTCCCAAGCCACTGGAGATTCAACAAGCAGTTTTCTCCACTGGAAGGCGAGCCCACCATTGTGGCTGGTATTGTTCTCAAACATTAGGCTTACCTGTTCTTACAGCACAACACAACACAAAGGATGTTATGTGGGGAGGCAGAATTGAGTAAAACATTTATTCCTTCCATATAGCCCCCTGCAGCTATGATCAAGGTGTATATCCCCCACACCACCATTTCAAAGTACAAATCATTAACTATTGTAAAAGTTTATTTTTTGGCATAAGAATATTTGGCTAATTGCAATTTTTCCATGCAAAGTTTAGTGAATTATAAGATTGAAAGTGATGTTATTTCATAAGTGATTATAAATTTCATAGAAACATCTAGCTATGTTGATGTACTACAGTAGAGAGGTGTAGAGAAATAATACATACTTTTTGAAAGCACTGTTTGAAATTAATCCCTTAGTTTGGCAACTGTGAACATAAGAAGTTGAATGTCTGCTTAGATGGTCTACAAATGTGTTGCTCGTTAACTACCATTAAAAAAAGAACATAAGAATCTACAGAAATTTCAAAAGATTCTTTTCATTGCTAAATTCCAGACTTTCTCAAGGATAAACTCCTACAGGTGCTCTAAAGGTGCTCAGACATAACACCACAAAACAATGTTATGTTACCAATGCTATGGTAAATAGTCACCATTGTGACCATTACCCAGAAAAATTATTTTAAAAAGGGCATTACATTTTATTTCTCAGATGTGAAAGAGAATGAGCAAGTAAGCTCATGTCCTTTACCAAGGACACAGTTTAGAGGGAACAGCATTCTTCTCATACAAAAGTTACCCCACTCTATTTCTTTCAAAAAACGAAAACAGAGCTGATTGTATGAAGCTGGTTGTATCCCAAGAATAAAACAAACGACATCAAATTGTGAATCTACCTAATGATGATGGTGAGACACTCTGATCAGACCACAACCATAGATCTAAAACAAACCACATTAGTCACATCTAAAACACCCTAAGTAATTATGTCAGTGATAAAAAGAAGACTAGAGAAAATGTGGACCACCTTCAGAAAGAAACAGGAAATGGAGATGGCTGAAGCAGTCAATGATTTCTTTGCCTAAGTCTTCACCAGCAAGTGCCCAAGCCACACTACCCAAGTCACAGAAGGCAAACGCAGGGACTGGGAGAATGAAGAACTGCACACTGTAGGAGAAGATCAGGTTTGAGACCATCTAAGGAACCTGAAGGTGCACAAGTCCACAGGGCCTGATGAAATACACCTGCAGGTCCTGAAGGAACTGGCAGTTGCAGTTGCCAAGCTGCTATCCATCATATTTAAGAAGTCATGGCAGTCTGGTGAAGTTCCCACTGACTGGAAAAGGGAAACATAACCCCCATTTCTAAAAAGGGAAAAAAAAAGACCCGGGCAACTACAGGTCAGTCAGACTCACCTCTGTATCTGACAAGATCATGAACCAGATCATCCTGGAAACTATGCCAAGGCACATGGAAAATAAGAATTGGCAGCAAGCCAACATGGCTTCACTAAGGGCAAATTGTGCCTGACAAATCTGGTGGCCTTCTATGACCAGGTTACCATGTTGATGGATATGGGAAGAGCAACTGATATCATCCACTGGGACTTGTGCAAAGCATTTGACAATGTCCCACACAACATCCTTGTCTCTAAATTGGACAGACATGTATTTCAGAGATGCACTGCTTGGCGGATAAGGAATTACGTGGATGGTCACACTGAAAAGAGTTGCAGTCAACGGCTCTATGTCCAAGTGGAAAACAGGGATGAGTGGCATTCCTCAGTGGCTGGTATCGGGACCCGTGCTATTCAGTATTGTTGTGGGTGACATGGACAGTGGGATCAAGTGCATCCTCAGCAAGTTTGCAGAAGACACCAAGTTGCTTGCTGTGGTTGACTCCCTGGAGGGAAGGGATGCCATCCAGAGAGACCCTGACAGGCTTAAGAGGTGGGCCCAAGTGAACATCATGAAGTGCAACAAGGCCAGGTACAAGGTCCTGCACCTGGGTCAGGGCAATCCCAAGCACAAACACAGGCTGGGTGAAGAATGGACTGAGAGCAGCCCTGAGGAGAAGGACTTGGGGGTGCTTGTTGAGAAGCTTAACATGACCTTGCAATCGCTACTTTTAGTCCATAAAATCAATCATATCCTGGGCTGCATCAAAAGCAACATGACCAGCAGGTTGACCGAGGTGATTCTCCCCCTCTATTCTGCTCTCATGAAACCCTACCTCAAGTGCTGCATCCAGCTCTGGGGACCCCACCATAAGAAGGACTAGAAGCTAATATCACAGAATCACAGAATATTAGGAGTTGGAAGGGACCTCAAAAGATCATCCAGTCCAACCCCCCTGCCAGAGCGGGATCACCTAAACTAGGTTGCAGAGGAACACGTCAAGATGGGTTTTGAATGTCTCCAGAGAAGGAGACTCCACAACCTCTCTGGGCAGCCTATTCCAGTGCTCCGTAACCCTTACAGTGAAAAAATTTTTCCTCATGTTCAGATTGAGCCTCCTATGCTCCAGCTTGCCCCACTGCCCCTTGTCCTGTCACGGGACATCACTAAGAAGAGCCTGGCTCCTTCC